GTGAATGTACCACAATTTCTCAATCCAGTCGTTGGTTGGTGGACATTCAGGCTGTTTCCATGTTTTTGCTATTGTGAATAATGCAGCAATGAACATCAGTGTACAAATCTTTGTTTGTGCCTCAGTTCTGTTTTCCTTGGGGTGTATTTTCCAGCAGTGGAATAGCTGGCTCATAAAGCTGTCCACATTTTATGATTTTTATTCTCCTACCAAAAAACTAATTGCTGCCCAGCCAATTCCAATTCATGGTAACTGTCCTCCATTGGATGTTAAATGGCTGGTTTGTTGCAAGTAGGTTGCCAGGCCTTTCTTCACAGACACCTCTGGATGAATTTGAACCTCTAACCTTTCAGCTTGCTCAGAACCATGCTTAGTACTGTCAGGGCTACAGAGAAAAGAAAAAAAAAAAGGGGGATAAGGCATAGATAGTCTCTGGCATCAGGAGCTTGAACTCTAGTCAGGAAAACAGTACCCGTGGTAGGCTAAACTCTCGCTCACCCCTGAAGATTACGGATAAAATACAATTACCTCTCTGCATTTTTGCAGCAGAAATTGCTAATCAGTGTGCATGAGTGGGCCATGTGCAAGACAACCTTAAATGGTGATGGCAGGCGAGTAGGCAGCTCCACGTTCCATCCTGGCAGGGGTTGCAGGCTCAGCAGAAGGGGAGGGGAAGGGCTTACCTGGGCCACTGCCAAGGCTCAAGTGTGCATCATCAAGTCTCTCTCTGGAGGCTGACCCCAGCCTGGACTCACCCACCTAGACTAGCCAGAGGAGGTTTGGAGGAGGGTCCTGCCTCGGGTGGAGGAAGGCAGTTTTTGAAGGGTTTTCACCGAGTTCCTGACTCAGTACTTAGAACAGAGTTGGCGAAGGACAGAAGGTGAGGCTAAGGTCAGATCTAGAGGTTGTGGAGATGGCTTCTACTTGCCCTACTGAAGCCTGTACCTTCTTTCCTGCCACTTTTAGGAGCTCACCTCTGTTTGTAAACTGCCCTGTTATTGTTATGTGCCATGAAGAACAACTCATAGCAACTCTATGAACAGCTGGCCTGAACCCTGCCCTATCCTGCGCCATCCTCATCATCTCTGACACACTAGAGCCCATTGCTGAAGTCACCATGTCCGTCCATCTCCTTGGGAGTCTTCCTCTCCTATGATGACCCTCCATCTTACCAAGCATGATGTTCCTTTCTAAGGAAGAATCTCACCTAGTACATGTTCAAAGTATGAGAGACAAAGCTTTGCCATCTTTGCCTCCAAGGAACTCTCTGGGTGCACCTTTTCCAAGATATATCATATCTGTTTTGGCAGTTCGTGGCATATTTAGTACTCTTCTCCAGCGCCGTAACTCAAAAGCATCAGTTCTTGTCATCCTTATTCATTATCCAGCTCTCTGATGCATAAGAGATGACTGAGAAGACCATGGCCTGAATGAGGTGCACCTTGGTCTTCAAACAGACATCGTTGCTCTTCAGCATTTGAGAGAGGTCCCTGATAGGGACTTGCCCAATGCACTATGCCTCCTGACTTTCTGAATGCTGATACCAAAGTTGTTGAATTTTAATACAAGCAAGATGAAATCATTGTTAACCCAGGCTCTCCAAAGAGTTGTGCATTTTTAATCCTGCCTCCAATTAGAGGTGCCCTGGTGGCATTAAGGGGCAGTTCTACTCCATTCTGTGCAGTTGCTGAATCGAAAATCGACTTGACAGCACTTACCAATCTGAACCAGAGGATCCTAATGTGGCTGTTACCTGTTTCTACTCATCATTCCCACTCACCTTGACCCAGCACCGGGCCCATAATGGAATAAGCTTAATAGAGGTTTGTTGACTCCTAGGATCCAATTTGGATTTACCCATAATAAAAACTTACGGGACAGCTTTCCTTATGGGAAAAGCTAGAAGGCCTCTCAACCCCAAGAGATAAGTAGAGCTGACGGCAACGGACATTTATTGAGCACTTTCTGTATGCAGTACGCTCAGATTATTTCTCCTAATTCTATACATAATCTGATGCTTTGAAAAGTTAAGCAACACTTTTCTAATAAGAAGTGGTAGAGCCAAGATTGGGGTGCTGATCGCCAAATGGCTGGTGGGTTCTGCTCTCTCTCCTCAGGCAGGTGGGAAGCTGGAGCCTTTTATCTCAGTGTGGCAGGACCACCAGCCTTCCATCCAGTGTGTGACAGGTCCTCTCGTGAACTCACCCTGCCCCTGCCTCTTTTCTTCTCTGATACAACATCACAGAACTCCAGAAGAAGAGATCTTTGGGACCAAGCCTCCCCTCCTTCCCTGTTGCCCATCCCTGGCTTGGCCAGCCTAGCCCCTCCGTGGACCTGCGCACATGTTTGCAGGCGTGCATGCGTGTATTCATGTGTGTGTGTTTGTTTGCCCTGAGTTTTATGTGTCAGTGCACACACCAACCTACGTAAAACCTCTGTTCATTTTAAATCACGGTTGTTTTTCCCACTTTCAGAAATAGCTGCAGGGGAAGGTGGGAAGTAGTCAAATGTAAACAGGAGTGCTGTTCTCCTGCTCAGAGGAGGGTTCCATGTCTCCAGCTGTCCCCTAAACCCAGCATCCTGGGAGGGGAGTGGCATGGTGGGATAAAGGACCCCCTGTGGGCAGGGCAAAGCCCAGCTGAGAGATGACCTACCTGGATGGTGGTAGGAGACATATACCCAGCTTCCTGCAGTTGCGTGGCAAGGAGTCCTCGCCCCAAGAGACAAGAGTGAGCACCTACCCTGCAGGTGCAGCAGTCAGTGTGCCCCGGACCCTCCAGGGGACTGGCACAGCCTCAGGTCACACAAGGAGGTAATGGTGCAAACTCTGGATTGGCGCTGAGTCCTGTCTCCTACAACTTGACAGTCATGTGATTTAAGTCATGTTATTTTACCTCTGCTGGACCTGTTCCTTCATCTATAAACTCAAGAGCTATTACTGTTGTTAGCTGCCATTCAATTGTCTCTAACTCCTAGTGACCCTGTGCCCGCACCATCACTGTGACCTGTCCTTGGTCCCTTGTGACCCAGAGGGTGTTCACTGGCTGGTTCAGAAGTCAATCACCCAACCTTTCTTCACACTCATAGTCTGTCTTAGTCTAAAAGCTCTGCTGAAACCTGTTTGCCATCATAGCAACATATTAGCCTTTACTGACAGACAAGTTGTGACTGTACTATGAGGTGCACAAGCTGGGAATTGAATTTGAGTCTCCTGCATAGGAGGTAAAAAGTCTACCACTGAACCACCACTATCTTCAAACTTGGGGATATTAATACTCACCTCAAAGGCCTATAATCAGGGTTAAATGGGATATGAATCCTGGTATGTGGTGGGTGAGTGTGAGTTTCCCCAATGCCTCATAGTGAGGGAACCACCCAGACCAGATCTCCTTTCCTCTCAGTCAAACTAGCCTGGGAAAGGGGGACAACACAGAGTCAGGCCCCCTTGTTTCTATCTTCAATTCTAGGCCAGAGCTAAACTTAGCTCCAGGGCAATGTAGTCCTGTCTCTGGGATCTGGGCCATAGCATGGATTGGTTTCTCATACCTGGCTTGGATTCTAGGCTCCAGGGGACATGAGCCTCCTGAGGAAAGGGCCTGGGGACCACACAGAGAGAAATTTATACAATAAATACACAGTGGCACCTGCTCATCCAGGTACTCTGTGCTTCGGGTACAACTATAAGCAAGACTGATCCCTCTGGTTGGGGATACCATGTAATATACAGTCAGAGCTGTGACAGGAAGCGGGCAGAATGGGGATTCTAGGAACTGGAAGCAGTTCCCCCAGCAGCCAGGGGGTTTAGGACAGCTTTGGAGAAACTCTATATAACAGACTGATGTTACAGAGCTTTTCCCAACTTTTCTTTGGTAATAAATGTAGAGCTAAGATATGGGTGCTGATATAAGTACCCTGTGAACCAGATGAATCTACTTTAAGGTGTGTGGGTTGTGAGCTAGGGAGGGAGGGATGGAAAGGTGAGAATGGTTGGTAAGTCCATTCCACATCTCTCTGGACTCAGAAAAAAGGCTCTGAAATCTCATCCTTTCTCCTTCCATTGCACACCCACATGCATGTACACACACAGAAATTAAGTCTTGAAAAGCAAGCCACAGTTATCTGGGAGATCATAAGGAGGGGACAGGAGAAGAGATGGCATGTGAGAATAACTTCAACTCAAAAGGGTTGTGCATAGTGAGGTGGGGTAGTAATGAGAGAAGCCAGGAGCAGTGTCTGGGATCAGATCATTGAAGGTCTCACCTACCAGACTGAGGAGCTCAGGCTTCTTATCCCCAGCACCCCTTCCCAGGCAGCTGGAAAATGGGAACCCACTGCCTCTTTGGTAGAGAAGTTGACAAAAACCAAATGTACCCTCACCACAAAAAAGGCCAAGCACATACAGGGCAGAGCCACTCTATACCCAGAGCCAATCTTGGGCTGGGGCTGGGTCCACTGTCCTTCCATCTCCAGTCTACTAATGAGGCTGTCACAGAATCTAGAAGTTCCACTTGTTTCCATATCCTCAACCCCAACCCCACACACACCTCAATTACAGGGGACTGTCTGGAAACTGTCACTTTATTCTCCATTTAACCAGTGAAGCAAGTGCATCTACTTGAAAGCAATAGGGCTAGGGAGGGAGAGGAGAGCAGTGAAAAGGTTTCAGAACCTATTATTCTCCATATTTCTAACTAAGAATAAAAGCTCAGAGGTGGACTAGAACCCCATCCCCTCATCTCTCCTTTCCTCCCAGACAAACAAGTACACACACACCCCCATTCCTCTGAGCTATCCTGGGAGTATCCAATCACTGCCTCCCTAGCAGATTTTAGAAAGGACACTAAGACCTCAAGGCCATACGACAGACTCCACAAGCCCTGGGTCAGGACCTGTCCTCCCCCTCTCCCAGTTTTTGGCCTCTTGAGAGAACAGGAGAGATGAGAGAAAGGAGTAGATCTGCTTCTCCACCATTTCTAATTCAGATCCTTTCTTCCAGGGCTGCTCCTATGGGGCATGGAAACAAGTGAGCAGGCCCACACGGTGGACAAGGATGAAGACCTGCATCCACGAGGATGAGAAGCAATTCCCGCCCACCCTGCCTAGGATGACCACCCTGGGAGAATCCTTCCCCAGGCCCTGGCAGGGCTGCTGACCCCCAGCCTGCAAAACACCCTAAGACCCCCGTGGATGGTTCCCCGCCCTGCAGCTCCACCATGCGGCTCCTCGTGGTGCCCCTCCTGCTAGCTTGGGTGGCTGGCGCAGCGGCCGCTGTGCCTGTGGTCCCCTGGCGGGTGCCCTGCCCCCCTCGGTGTGCCTGCCAGATCCGGCCCTGGTACACGCCGCGCTCGTCCTACCGCGAGGCCACCACCGTGGACTGCAACGACCTCTTCCTGACGGCGGTGCCCCCCGCGCTCCCTGCAGGCACGCAGACCCTGCTCCTGCAGAGCAACAGCATCGTCCGTGTGGACCAGAGCGAGCTCAGCTACCTGGCCAACTTGACCGAGCTGGATCTGTCCCAGAACAGCTTTTCGGACGCCCGAGACTGTGACTTCCTGGCCCTGCCGCAGCTGCTGAGCCTGCACCTGGAGGAGAACCAGCTGACCCGGCTGGAGGACCACAGCTTCGCAGGCCTGAGCAGCCTGCAGGAGCTCTATCTCAACCACAACCAGCTCTACCGGATCGCGCCCAGGGCCTTCGCCGGCCTCGGCAACCTTCTCCGGCTGCACCTCAACTCCAACCTGCTGAGGGCCATCGACAGCCGCTGGTTCGAGATGCTGCCCAACCTGGAGATCCTCATGATCGGCGGTAACAAGGTGGACGCCATCTTGGACATGAATTTCCGGCCTCTCGCCAGCCTGCGCAGCCTCGTGCTCGCCGGCATGAACCTGCGCGAGATCTCCGACTACGCCCTGGAGGGGCTGCAGAGCCTGGAGAGCCTCTCCTTCTACGACAACCAGCTGGGCCGTGTGCCCAAGCGGGCGCTGGCGCAGGTGCCCGGGCTCAAGTTCCTGGACCTGAACAAGAACCCTCTGCAGCGCGTGGGACCCGGGGACTTCGCCAACATGCTGCACCTCAAGGAGCTGGGGCTCAACAACATGGAGGAGCTGGTCTCCATTGACAAGTTAGCCCTGGTTAACCTCCCCGAGCTGACCAAGCTGGACATCACGAACAACCCCCGGCTGTCCTTCATCCACCCCCGCGCCTTCCACCATCTGCCCCAGATGGAGACACTCATGCTCAACAACAATGCTCTCAGTGCCTTGCACCAGCAGACGGTGGAGTCCCTGCCCAACCTGCAGGAGGTGGGTCTCCACGGCAACCCCATCCGCTGCGACTGTGTCATCCGCTGGGCCAACGCCACGGGCACCCGGGTCCGCTTCATCGAGCCGCAGTCCACGTTGTGTGCAGAGCCGCCAGACCTCCAGCGCCGGCCTGTCCGAGAGGTGCCCTTCCGGGAGATGACCGACCACTGTCTGCCCCTCATCTCCCCGCGCAGCTTCCCCGCCAGCCTGCAGGTGGCCAGCGGCGAGAGCCTGGTGCTGCACTGCCGGGCACTGGCCGAACCGGAGCCTGAGATCTACTGGGTCACCCCGGCCGGGGTTCGGCTGACAGCCGCGCGCGCGGGGAGGAGGTACCGGGTGTACCCCGAGGGGACGCTGGAGCTGCGCAGGGTGACGCCAGAAGAGGCGGGGCTGTACACCTGCGTGGCCCAGAACCTGGTGGGGGCCGACACGAAGACGGTCAGCGTGGTGGTGGGACGGGCTCGCCTTCAGAGAGACAGGGATGAGGAATGGGGGCTGGAGCTGCGGGTGCAGGAGACGCACCCCTACCACATCCTGCTCAGCTGGGTCCCACCACCCAACACAGTCTCCACCAACCTCACTTGGTCCAGCGCCTCCTCCCTCCGGGACCGGGGGGCTGCGGCTCTGGCCCGCTTGCCCCGGGACACCCACAGCTACAACATCACCCGCCTCCTTCAGGCCACTGAGTACTGGGCCTGTCTGCAAGTGGCTTTTGCTGATGCCCACACCCAGTTGGCCTGTGTATGGGCCAGGACTAAGGAGGCCACTCCTTGCCACAGAGCCTTAGGGGACCGTCCTGGGCTCATAGCCATCCTGGCTCTTGCCATCCTCCTGCTGGCAGCTGGGCTGGTGACCCACCTTGGCACAGGCCAGCCCAAGGAAGAGCTGGGCAGGCGGCCCCTCCTTCCAGCCTGGGCGTTTTGGGGCTGGAGTGGCCCTACTGTCCGCGTGGTGTCTGCACCTGTTGTCCTGCCCTGGAATCCAGGGAGGAAGCTGTCGAGACCCTCAGATGGGGAGATGCTGTTGCCACCATTGTCTCAGAACTCGTGAAGCTCACTCAGCCCGCTCTCAACAGCAGAGCAAGGACTGGAACGAACCACCTTTCGCTGGAAGGGAAGCAGTCAGGGCCTGATGCCTCATCGGGAGAGTGATGAGAACAGCTGGGGTCTGGCAAATGAGCCAGCACAAGCAGAGCAGTGTAACCCCCCGGGAATGCTCCTGCAGTCTCTCAGACATTTCCCTGGCTTTCGGGGGCCTCCTCTGCTGCCCCCTTAGGAGCACCTCCAAGCAAGAAGACGGACTCTGGTGGCGCCTCCCGCCTCCCTGTTTTCTGTGTACCCAGAGGCTGCTGTCCTCAGCTTGGATGTCCCCTACCTGTGCCCCACACCCTTGGCCCACAGGATGCACCCCCAGTTCTCTGTACAGTCTCCGTTGCTTGCTCATTCCCTGTCTGGGCAAGGGCTGGATGAGGAGGTGGCCTCTTCTTCCCACTCGGAGGACCACTCTCGAAGTGGAAGTCACCCCCAGCCAGAGCTGAAGGACATCCGTGGAGAGGGCTGCCCAGGCATGTGGAGTCTCGGCACCCAGACTCGGCACACCGCTGAGGCTGACTTTCTATAGGCAATTTTGTACCTTTGTGGAGAAATGTGTCACCTCCCCCCCAACCCAATTCTCTCTTTTCTCCTGTTTTGTAAAAAATAAATGATAACAATAATAAGGGGGGAAAGAAATGAAAGGAGAATAATCCTTTGAAAATTGAGTCTAGCTCTAGCGTTGTCTGCTCTAGAATCTGTTTAAAGCTCAAAGGCTAGCAGTGGGAGAGGGGCTGGGATGCGATGAGAGGAGGGAATGGGGAAAGAAGGGGCAGTTTTTCCTTTTGGTTCTGAATTCTGGCCTGACAGGTGCCTGTGGGCCTGCTCCCAGCTCCCCAGAGAGTGTGGTGACCAAGCAGGAGAGCTAGGGAAGGAGGGAGGGATAAAGCCAGAGAGGCTGCCAGTGGCTAAAAAGGAGGAAGAGCATGCAGGAGGCAGAGATAAGCATGAGGGGGAAACGGGGGAAAAAGATGGAGAGTGGAAATTTCCATCACCAAACCTTGTCACCCCTTCTTCTCTGATAAGCAATTAAAATTGCAAATGCAACATGCCAGTGCATAGGAAGCACTTCCCAGCCTCCTTCTAATTAAACAAACCCAAGAGGCAGAGTCATGCAGAGAATTGTAAATCATCTAGACAGCGCAAACTTTGACTGTATGGGGCAGGAGCCAGGGCTTAAGGTGATGGAGGGTTTGGGAAGGGGATGAGCTGTGGGATAAAGAAATAGCTGCATTTATCTTTCTGTTCCATTTTGGTATAATTTGCAATGAGACTGGTTTGTTTATTTTCAGGGTTGTTGTGTTTTGGGGTTTTTTTTTTTAATCGATTGACTTCCTAGGGCCAAATGTGAACAGGAACATCTGTTGGAAAGCCAGTACAGCCAGGGGCTTCTGGGCTGGCCTAAGAGGTGGGGGTGCCAGAGCCCAAGGACTGGGCACGGCCTTGTGCTCAGAAAACGATGGGTTTCCTAAAACAGAAAAGTAAAAGCAATCCCTGGAGTTGAGGAGCCCCCTCCTTTACAGGACACGTTTGGCAGACCTGATGGAGGCCGGCTCAGAACCAGCAGTGGTGCTGCAAATATGCATATAGACCAGGGCCTGGGCCGGAGCCTGGGGAACCTGGAAATAGCTCTCACCCAAAGCCATGCAATGATGCTCTGCTCTTAATGAGCCACAGAGAGCAGGCTTCTCTGAAGACAGGCAGCAAAGAGCCAGGCGAGGAGCTTCTGGGAAAGGCTGCTGCTTCCTGTTCTTTGCCATCATGTAGTTGATTCCAACTCACTGTTCCTGGCGGTGGTAGGTACCGTTGAGTCCAACTCAGCGACTCTACAAACAACTGAGAGAACCTTGCCCTATCCTGCGCCACCCTCACAGTCACCACGTTCAAGTCCATAGTTGTAGTCCAACTCGTTGTTGTTGTTGTTGTTAGGTGCCATAGAATTGAGTACACCTCATAGCGACCCCATGAAGAACAGATCTGAACCCTGTCCTATCCTGTGCTGCCCTTATCACGTCTGACATACTCCCCCATTGCTGCAGTCACTGTCAACCCACCTGGTTGAGGATCTTCCTCTCTTTTGCTGTCTGTCCCTCCACCTTCCCAAGTATAGTGTCCCTCTCCAAAGAATAGCCTTTCCTAGCAACATGTCCAAAGTACGTGCGATGACCCTTTGTCATTGCCTCCCAGGAGCACTATGGCTGCACCTTCTCCAACACATATTTGCTTGTTCTTTTGGCAGTCCACAGGATCATCGGCACTGTTCCCCAACATGACAATTTAAAGGCAGTTCTGTCATCCTTAGTCATTGTCCAGCTCTCAGATGTATAGCAAGGCACTGAAAAGACTATGGCCTGAATCAGGCACACCTTAGTCCTCAAACTAATATCATTGCTCCTCAGTAATTTGGAGAGTCCCCGACTATAGACTTTCCCAGTGCAATACATCTCCTGATCTGACAGCTAGTATCCAGTGTATTGATTGTGGATCCAAGTAAGATGAAGTCCTAGACAGTCTCAATCTTTTTCTCAACCTATTATGAGGTTACCTGTCAGTCCAGTGGCAAAGAGTTTCATTTTGTTACATTGAGATTCAATCTATATTGAAGGCTACAGTGTTTGATCTTCTGCAGAAGATCTGCCAGAGGAGTCCTCCATGGTAGACAGGTTTTAGTGGTGCTCCCAGATTAAGACAGACTAGGAAGAAGGATTGGCCATCCACTTCTGAAATAACAAGCTTCTGAGAAATCAAGGTCATGGTTACCCTGAAAAACCAGCACCGAACTCACTGCTGTTGAATTGACTCTAGCCCATGGGTCCCCTCCAGGGGGTGTCTGAGGTGGTAATCTTTACAGGAGAAGCTTTTTACTCAGAGCTACTGGTGGGTTCGAACCGTCAGAGAGGCTCAACTTTTGAGTTAGCAGTGCACCTCCCTGTGAACCATGCCACCAGATCTCCCGTTCCTCCTTCCCAGGGCAAACAAACCAGGTGCCCTTGAAATGCAACCTCATGTGTAACCGAGTAGAACTAGGCTCCATAGAAGTTGACAGCCAGGCCTTTCTTCCGAGACACCCGTGAATGGGCTCAAACTTCCAATTTTTGCATTAGCTGCTGAGCACACCCAGAAACTTCCCCTCGGGTGAGGGAGCCTCAAACTGGCCCACATCAGAGAATCATTTGGGAGCTACCTAAACACAGATGGCTGGTCTCACGCCCAGAGTTGCTGACCTACTAAATCTGGGTGGGAGCCGAGCACTGCATTTCTAACGGGCGTCCAGAGCTGTTGCTCTGGGAGAGCACTGTGCATCTGCAGCAGCTACAATTTTTCACTTCCGTCTTCTGCTCTAGGTTTTTTTTGTGTTTTGTTTTGTTTTGTTTTGTTTTGTTTTAAAAGACAGCAATAAAGTTATGTCTTCAGATGAGAATTGAAGGAGCTGAGGGATGGGCAGCGCGTTCTTCTATCCAGCTAGTGAACTGCACAGCCCCGTTATAAAATGATTGCCTCCTGCCCTGATTTCTAAGGGCCTTACCACCACTGCCATTGAGCCAATGCCCACTCATGTAACCTGGACATCCTGGCTTGTCTTTCTCCTGCAGAACAGTGGATGGGTTTGAACCACCAACCTTTTGGCTAACTCACAGCCCAATGCCTCACAGCAAGCTCTATTGCTGGATGTTCTTTGCTATTGGCGTGTTAAGTCCTTTTAGGGGAGGAGGATAGAAATAGCAAAAGGACACACGTGCTCCTTTTGCCCCTCCTGATACACAAGAGACACTCAGGCCTCATGGGATTTCCTTGGGGGTGCTGGGATCATCACAGCCACTTCCAGTATCTCCAGCTGGGACTTCACTGAAGCCATTGAAGGGAGCGCTCATCCTCCACTATCAATAGGCTTGGTGGGGAAGAAACAGGACAGGGCCCGAGAGGATCATAGGAAACAAGGCAGAAGTTAGTGCCTCTCCTTCTCTCCAGTAGCCTCCTTTCTTGGCTGGCCCACACAGAATCCAAGTGCTCTCCCTTAAAGAAGCGCCCACAGTGCCTGCAAGGACTGGTGGAGCGTCCATCTCTGTTTCTGCTGTCGCTCCAGAATCTCCCTAAGAGGCCTCCATTGATCAATAGCAACCAGAACAGTGACGCTCATTGGCTCTCACCTCTGTTCCTCGGTGCTGTTGTAACAAATGAAATAAAGAACAGACAAGTATTTCCTGACCATTCTGGAGGCTAGACATCCAGATCGGGACCTGGGCCATGTCAATTCCTTCTTTGTCAGGACCTCTGAGGATTGGAGAGATGCACATATGTGACCTGCCATCCACTGTGTGTCCCTCTGTATCGAATCAGTCAGATTGCTGTATATGGTCGAGTCAGGACAGGCCTACAGCAGACCCATCAGCTGGTTTTCAAAGGCAGTAAGTCACATGGGAGGAGATTGCCCATCTTTATCCACAGAGCAGCTGACAGATTTGAACCACATGCCTTTGTGTTGGCAGCGCAATGCCACTATTGTGATCTCATTAATACAGCAAAGAAAATCATAACCCAAACATAAGTATAGGGGTTAAGATTCCAACACACGTTTTGGGGGGCCATGGCTCAATCTGATGGATATAGAGGACCCAGAGCCTTAGATGCCTCTGGCTCACACCACTTTCATGTGTGCCTAAGATTGGCCAGGAAGAGTGGCCTGACCCCAGCTTTGCCGCGTTGTCCCAAACCCCAGGCCCCATCTCTTGGCCCATCTTCATCTTCCTCAGATGTCTCAGTTACAGTCAGGACATCTCCAGAGAGTGATTGGATGCCATGAGCCTTTGGGAACAGGGAGGCTGCCCAACCATTAGCTGTGGGTTTCTGGCGTCCAGTCTCCATGTACCAAGATACTATATGCTTTGTTGTTCGCAGCTGCTGAGTCCTTGTTGGAGATGGAGCACCAGAGGAAGAGTTAATGGTGGGGATTTAATCTGG